GCCAGTGTTTGACCCTTAATATCATCTGCTATTTTTAGCGCTCACTTGGGCTGATGCAGCAGATTCCGCGACTAACTTCTGAATTGCTCGTACTTTATCCTGATGCATGAACATTACTTGTTTGAAATCGCCGAGAATGACACGGCTGAGTGCCTTTATTTGTCGCTCGCGATGCTCTCTGTCAAAAAGGCCCGAAATACCATCAGCAAAACGTTCCCTACGTCCGCGCTTACGAACGTTTTTTTCCTCTCGTATTCTTTCATCATTTCTCTCATTGTCATAATCAGTCTATAATTAACCTTTTGCTGTAAGAAATAATATAAGAATATAAAATAAGAATATGAATAATACAAGTAAAAATGACAAAATTCTTTAAATTATTATTATATAAAAATAATGGGGAGAATATCGTGTCAATATTTACAAATTTTTAAATTTCATGAATCAGACGGAAATGAAAACCAGTGAAAAGAAAATTTATTAAAACATTAATTCATAAAGTACCTGCGCTTCTTCTTCTGCGATGTTTTCATCATTTTCAAAATGTTTCCCCAGCAAATCTTCTGATGCATTGTTTTGAACACCTATATAACTTCTGTCAAATAAGAAATTACCACCTATTTGATTTTTCTGTCTTGATGGATTGGGAATTGTAGCACCAAAAGAATCTCTGAAATTTGAAAACTTGAAAGAAGGAAAACATTACTTAATTCTTTTGCAAATAAGATACAAAGATTATGCAGTTGCAATTACAATGCAATGCTTAATGAATAATTATAATTTTATAATAATTTCATGAATTTTTTTTAAAAGAAACTTTAATTATAAAATATTTACATAAAACATCAACATTATTACTAAAATGTTCTTCAGATGAAATTAAACTAACCTTGTTCGATCTTCATCATATATTTGTGGTGTGGGAGGTATATAATCATCTCTACGCCATTCGGCATTTGTATCTTCATCTATATGACGGAATAAACTCATGAAAAAGCATTCACTCAAAAAAATTTTAGGAAATGTTAATCTAGAAAAATTTACCAATTTGAGAGACTGGAGAAGGATTTGACACGTTGCTCATAAATGACGCATTGAAATTGGGAGTTTTTATAGTTGCATTCGATCCATTCGAATGATTGCCTTCATAATCGTCATCTTTAAATTAATTATCACCATTATTTATTATCAATTAAAGTTTAAAAGAAAAAAACCAAATTAAAACTAATTCAGATAATTTAAATAACTCCAGAGAAATAAAAATATCTGAATAGAAAAATTAAAAATAGGTGGTAATTAAAAATAGGTGTTAAAAATCATAAAATCATAAATATATCAATAAATTGAAACAGGACCTGAAATTGATATTAATTTAATAGGTACGTTTGAATGCTCCTCGCACTGATTTGTTGATGGCAGTTTATCTGGGTTCTCATTCTGTTGCTCCCCCTATTTGAAAATTAGTTTACTCATTTTTTCGATCAGTTATAAAAGAATTTAATTGTCGATAAAATACAATATTGTTGTTCCATTATCTGCCCCACACTAATCATATAAAAGAAAAATATGATAGAATGATTTGATAAGTTTATTCAAAAAAATATTGAATGATGAAGAGCTTTCATATTTGAACAGAAAATGATGATAGAAAAATATGATAGAAATATAAATATGAATAAAAATGAACATAAAAATGAATAGAATAAAAATGAATAGAAATTTTAAGAAAATTTATCGGTCAAATTATTACATGTATCATAAATTATTACCTGCAAAACAGTGCAATTGTCAAGTTTACTGATAACAGTATCTGAAATAGTTTGAACGGTACCATCAACATTTCCATTCTGAATATCTTCCAAATTTAAAGGAACTGCCAGAAAATTAATTCGCTGAAGAAGCACCTATAATAATATATAATTGCAGATTAAAAACAAAAAAAAATATTTTCTTTACTTTGAGCCAAATAGGATGAAATGTTGTTTCCCAGGTATAAGGAGGTCCGAACTGTGCAGTCGACTGATTATCAATAGGAAATATCATTGTCACTGCCTCTGATTCAGCTCTCTGCAACTTAATAAAGCTTTATTTTGAAATCATTTGAAATAGACTGCAAATTGTGGTTCAACTCGAAATACATGTCGTAATAAAATTACGATGGAATAACAACCTTTATGAGCAGGTGAACAGGTTCTTTACTATGACGCACACGTTTCATATGATTGCGAATTTGAGCAACATCTTTCGTTGGTAATAAATGACGGGAAATCAATGGATTTCGACCATGAAGATTTGAGTTATTTGAATGTGGTACATGGGAGAATTGATTATGAGCCAAAGCTAGAAGACTTTCTTCAGGAGGAATAAAATGACGATAAGGCTTATTGTCAAATGAAAAAGGCCTTGCCTGAAAAAAGCCTATGAATTAAAACCAATGATACAAATAAAAAAATTTAAAGTTAAAATATGAAAAATAACTAAATTTACCAATGATAAGAGCTCCGGATAAAGTAGTGCATGACTACGAGCAAGAACGACCATCGCTTTTGGTTTCGGTGCAAGAACTAAAATTACTCAGCAATTATTATTAAAATTATTCAGTAATTATTCAATTACTCAAACACCAGAAACACCATTAGTGATACATCATATCGATATTTAGATCATAAATTATTTTCATCGTAAGTCATCAATTCATTAGAAATATCCAATTAATCAGTAAAGAATAATCAGTTAATCAGTAAAAAATTTATGCATATGTTATAGAATATATGTATTATTCTAAAGAAAACAAGGAATTTTAGTCAAAGAAAAAATAAATTATACCATTATTGTGAACAAACTGATCTAACTCTGGCAAATCAATAATATGAGAATTCCTTGCGTCGTGACATGTCTCAACTGATGCAATGAGATTCGATATATTAAATAATGAATATTGCGGACGATCGCAGTAATTTTCATAAAGCTCATTCTGCAATAAAATTGACTTGACAGCAAAATTTGCTGGAAAAAATCTTAAAGATTTGGGATTCATTTGGAAATAACAAGAAAACCTAAAAATTATGAAAATAATTTTTTCCAATATCTCATTGCTATTCATTTTCCTCGTCTAAATTGTCTTTTCTTGAATCAAAGCTTCATTAAGACTTCATTTGCGGTTTATTCGAAGGAATTAAACGATTCATATTTTGCCTGATCCTTGCTTATTTATTTAATCAAACCGTCTTCATTAAATTCACAATTTTATCTTAATTTTTTCTTCTTCAATAACTTTAAATTAAACAACACAGTATACAAAAATTGAACTTACAATCATTAACTGAAATGCATTGTAAGTAGTAGTCAAATTAGGTTCATCTGCACAACAAACCACAAATTGTGTTAATAACTGCACGTGCTAAAAACCCTAATGTAAATAAACCCTAATGAATATAATACGAAAAATTAAATGTGAGTAATATTCGATGACTGGAATGCTGGTTTATTTTTTGTAAATTTAAAATTTTGTAAAGTATACTAGATTGCAAACTTTTAGAATTATACAATTAAAGGTAAACTTACGAAAAAAAACGTATTATCGATATTATAAACGATACCTTAGTTAATTGCGCAGCAAGTTGGCGAAGTTCATCAGATGAAAAAATTGGAGGATTTTCCACAGAAACACCAACAAGAGATGATGACTCAGGAAGAATGCCTGATTGATTTGGACAACAACCAACGTAAAAGACTGAATTAACTTCATGTACCAGTGGATCCATTTTCAATTTTTTATTTTTAATCATTTCGAAATTAATTTGCTCCTTTTTTCCGCCTCGATTTTTGCAAGGCTTAAAATTTATCAGAAATTAAAGTTTTTAAAGGACTAAAAATAATTTTTATAAGAAAAATTTGCATTCATCCGTATATGTGATTTATCCATTTAAAACCTGTGCAAAAACTGAATTAATGTACCGTAGAAGCATTATTAGGAACATTAGAAATTGAAGGAGGTAAAAGATTAGCTTCAGCTAAATCTTCGAATAAAACTCTCATCTCACGACCTGAAAATCAATATGATGGAAGACTTACAAAATTACAAGATCAAGATACCCTTTCTTACATTTGTATAATTTCATTAAACAAGCGCTAAATATCACTGAAAAATTAAGTTTCTATTTCAAAAATTAAGAAATACGTGTTATTTCAGTTTCCTTGTCCATTCGTATTTCATCATTGTCAACACAATTAATAAAATCGTTATCTTCTGATACGATATATTCAGGATCTTCACTTTCTAAAAGAGACCTGTTAAGCATGAACTGGAATTTAATAAATTCCAATGTTAAAAAATGAAATTGGGAAAAAAATATGGAAAATAAATAAAGATGATATGAAAAATTGACCATCATCCTCATATTTAGTAGGATCATTCAAAGAAGTTATAAATTCTATATAATCTGGATTATCTATCTCTGATAACAACAGTGGTGAATAATCAAAATCGTAATCGATATTTTCATCATTCATATTATGCAATCTTGAACGCGTATGATGGCAGGGTAAATCAGATTCTTCAGAGAGAAGACTGTTCAACTTATCGATATCCTGAACCGGATAAGTGAAGTGACAATAAAATTTAAATGATGTTGGAACAAATTTGCAATAAATTTCTACTTGAATAAAGTGATTAAGGATTTTAGAAAGAACGTTTCTTGAAATTTCCTCGAAGAAAATGAAAAACCGGAAAAAAAATTGAAATATAAGTTGAAATGCATTTAATATCACTAGTAAAAGTTAAGAAAGTCGCTTTATTCGCAATTAATTTTTGAAATTGAAATTATTCTTCGAATAATAATCGGAAATATTCAGAAAAAGTTAATTAAATAAATTAAACCATTAATTGAAAATTGAAACTTCATTACCATTGTCACATTGTCCTAAAAATTAAAAACAAAAATATCCAAATAATTATCATCTTAGCAAAAACAAACTTGTTTTTATAGATAAAATTGATCTTTTAAATTGTTTTAACGATTTAACGATGAGATAATATTATTTTTTGTAACGGAAACCTTTTCTGGATCATAATCTTCATCTTCTTCTTCGTTTTTTCCATAATCGAAGTCAAGAAATGTACGCGTAACTCGAGGAACAACATAGACTGTTTCGGCACTTGTGGATGCTTTATCAATCTGAACAAAAAATATCTTTAAATAAATAGAAGATTCCGAAAATGGAGAATTTCCATAAGATTTCGTTTGACTCTCATTTTTCTCTATTAATTCATGCTGGCTACGCAATCCATTGGTATCTACAATACAATTAGAGGAAATACTTTACATAAAATAAAAAATTAGGGACGAATTCATTCATGATAGTTGAATTTGTAAAGAGTAGAATGGATAACTGGACTGTTGCTCAATTACTGAGGTTTACAGAGAGCCAATACTGAGGTTCAACTCCCTGAAGGAATAAACTTATCCATTATCCAAAAATTCAGGTGATGCTTGCAACTCCTGTGCTTTTATAGTTAAAGGAGTCTCTGGCATATATAGCTAGTGTAACAAGTTATATAAGAGAGTCTAACTAGTAATAATGAGTGCTCTTAAGAAAAAATGTCGAAACTACACTAATATCGAGTGGTATGACTCAATTATGTGATCGCAGATTTAAAAAAATAAGGTCAAAAAACAATAAAGGAAATTCTTTCTTCCTTACAGGATTAAACACGTCATTAATGGAAACCAAAATTATAAAATTCGTCGAACAACTCTCTCAGGTCTCAGGTTTTAATTAAGTTAAATCAAAAATCTTGGAAGAATATAAGTGTAAATAAACCTTATTGACAGCAAAATCTTGCATTTGCCTCGATTTGCTTCTTGTTAAAATTGAATTCGAAAGTGAAAGATCTCCTTCTTGATTAACTTTTTCCCAGTCTGATTCACTCAGCATATGCTATTATTGGCGAAAACTGAAATTATTAGTTGAAGTTTAACTGAAAAACTAAAAAAAGCTGAAAAATGAAATAAGTGAAATGAGATTTTCCATTTTTATGATTTTATTCTATGCACAGCTTTATTTCTTAATCTCAACATATCCCCAAAAAAATGACGCAATCAAGATTAGATTGAAATGCGAGCATAGGATGTGAGGCTGTCCAAATATCTTCTGTGGCCGCGAAATATGGCATTCGAAACCGCTTCCGATGCTATCGTCTTCTCTGTTTTGTTCAAGAATATAAACTTTTTGCCATCAATACATACTTTAGAATTGCAGAAGACATCTAGTTATATAAAGCACATTAGACAATCAACATTTGAATCAGACTATACCTTGATCAATCACGGATAAAAGAGTTCTATACTAAACAATTGGCGAAACTGGCAACTTCCTCGGACCATGCTATAGTTAAATTTCTGGTTAAGATCAGAAGAATGAAAATATCGGTGAAGAAAACAAAGAATCCTCCAAAATCTTTTGACTATATCAAATTAAAAGATTTCGAGAGTCATTCCAAACTAAGACATCCAAAAATTTTCTCAAGATCTGCGGAGCTGCCGGACGATATTGTTATTCTGCCTCCAACAGTTGGCTGATCCACTTACAAATATACGAAAGATGGATCTCAGATTGTCCAACTGCACTGCCAGAAAGCACATATAGAAAGACCAATTAAGATTTGGATTAATATGATCGGAAAAAATTTTGGATGTATAAATGGCCCAGTGATATACGAGCTCAGACGGTGGAGAAGGCTTCAATTTTCAGAAATGATACTGGACTGGGGAACTAGGAAACATTATAATAACCAGTGTGCTCACCAAATCAGCTATTAGTAGAACAAGATTCATTTCAATTATTTCATTTTTCGCAGATAAGTTCTTGTTGGTTATTTTTGGCACCCAACTATGGCATTAACCTGCCGTGATCATCAAAATGAGTGTTGTAAACGACCGAAGACCGATAGTGGACGCACTTTGCCGAAAATGAAAATTAAAGAAATGGTTGCAAATGTACAAAATGAAAATTAAAAAAATAGCTGCAAATATACAAAAATACAAAATGCTACAAGAAAATATACAATAAAATTCTTGATTAACACATATTTCCACAGAAACCACAAGTCCTCAATCCTCAACTGGAAAACATCGGTCATCTTTTTGAAATCTTTCAATATCTCTTAAGCGTGCCACACTTGGAGGAGAAACTCAACCCTCGAACTCGAACTCTAATGCCAATGTTAGCTTCTCCAATATCACTACAAGGTACCAGCATAAAACCACCGCACCCCTTTTCCTACATCATCAATACAATAATTCAGACCACCAATTGAATGATAAAAAAATCTTATAATCGTCTTAATGCCAATTAAATCCTTTGTAGCATAAAAATAATGATTTGTCCTAACAACCTATCTATACAGATGGCTTCTATTTCTTTTATTGAAACTCTCTGGTATTTCTATTCCTGGACTCAGCTAAAACCATTTTTCCAGTTCAGCAATAAGTTTAAGAAACAGTTCCTAGTGCTTCAGTTATCACTCGGACCTTCTCTAATTTCTCTTCTCTCACTTGGTTTTGCTATATCTATTACCAGTGCTGATGTCTACTACCACGATTAGTGATTGGATAGCCAGTATTTTTTTGCCTGTTTGGATGGAGAGTTCCCGCAGGATCTTCGATATGCCTCGTTAATTTTTTGTATATAACTTGATGTCATCCATGTAGAGAAGGTGGCTAATGATAGTTCCGCTCTTAAATTTGCATCTATATCTGTTTCTCTTGATTATCTGACTGATGGAGTTTAGAGAGTTTAGAACTATGCAGAACAATAGGGGAGACAATGCATCGCACATATGCCGCACTTGATAGCTACTTGTACAAGTTGTTTCGAGCTGATTTCAAGCTCATTTTTTACAGTCCTATTGAGTTCTCCATAAACATCTTTAGGGTCCTGTTGATTTTATATAGAGCCAGATATTCACAGATCCATGTGTACGGCACTGAGTCTTAGGCTTTCCTATAGTCAGTAAGCTGTATAGAATAACCTGTCTAGATTAGAGTCTTGAGCAACTGCCTTATATATGAACAGTTAATGTTTGGAGCCTTTGGTGTTATTGCCAATGATTTTTTGAACTCTACTCATATACTGACTCATTTGGACATGACGCTTGTTGTCTATGAGATTTGATATGGACCATCTCTGGATCACATACTAATGTCTTTTCATATTTTTGAGTCGCTGTTGGGTGTGATTAGCAGTGATGATAGTTGGTTCCTAGGAGGTTGCTGTAACTGTTCTCAGGTCTTGCAATCACTCTGCATTGTGGGTGTGAATCTTTTTTTTCTTTCATATATTCTTCCAGTATTATACAGTTTCTGCTGTTAGTATTACTCTGTTACTATATTATTCTGAAGTTGAGAGCACACCTTGGATGGTTTCTTGGAGAGCAGCGCATTTGTCTTTTTAACCTTTACCTCTCTAATATATCCCCTTAGCCTAGTGGCCAATATTGTGAGTCTTTGTTTGCAGTGTCGAGAGCTTCTGATGGAATACAACTCTTGCATTTTCCCAGCATCCGGATATTATTTCTGGATATTTGTCTCTTCATTTTCATCTCTTCTGTTCATTTCTGCAGTTCTATCAGCTTCTTGTGCTCTGATCTTATTTTCCAGTCTCCTTTTTCATTAGCGAATTGTTATTCTTAATTTTATACCCCAGCATTTTGAGAGAATGGCTGTGGGACACCAATTCATTAGTTTCTATTATTAGTGGCAATAGAAATTGTTTGAGGGGTATTTTCATCTTCGATTATATTACCTGGTGGTGCGTCACTAAGCTTCTTTAATTATAACAATTTTATTCGTGATTTTCTGCCTCATATTAACGGTTCTGTTTTGCAATAGAGATATTGGAAGGTAAGCTTTCCAGTTTCACAGGTTATTGCATGCTCATCTCTTCTTTGTTTTTTCTGAATATTCTAAGTCTGCTGTGTTATGAAGAGGAGTTGATTCATCTCCAGCTGAGAGAACAGCTTTTCTTATGTTGAGCCACTAATTGTTTCTTAATTAATGTGCATCTTAGGTCTTTTCGCTTTCTAATCTAAATGTATTCGGAGAGTACATTCGTTGAAGGTGTGATGTGAAGATTGATGGACAGTGCTTGAAGAGTTCAGACCAAAGACCATCTTCTACGGCAGTTTTATTGACCTTGTGTTTATGGATAACGGAGATTATTTTTGTTCTGTTGGCGGTTTGCACTTGTAAACCCTACGGCTCGACGAGCGAACCAGCTATGTCCGCTACAACAGATGGCGCTTCTTGGTTAAGTCTCAAAGAATTTTTTCCATCTTACGAGGCGTTTTTTTAATAGCACACTATTACTATCACATATCACATACCATTTTACTGACCGAGTTACTGTGAAGAGGGAGTTTTCTATTATCGCCCAATCATGTCGCCATCTCCATTTTCAAGGTCATATCGCTCCAATAATGATTTTTGGCCCTCCGATCTACTGTCATTGCAATTCTTCGATGCATCAGGTAGCCAAGATGTCTTGACATTCGTATTTTGGTAGCCTTTTCGGATAGTTGGACTGAATTCCGACATCCAACTAGCACTTCTTATAGTATAGCGTGGAAGTGACTGATTTCCGGAGACATTCTTTTAATTGAGATCAATCTGCCAGAAAAGTCGTTGATATTATATTAAATAAATATCAGCGAAAATTTTTCAACAGCTTGTTGCCTCTAATGGCAATCATTTAGTTCCAACCGAGGATGGTCAAATCCAGCACTTCCTACGACAGTGCTTGATTTCGAATATCGGGACCGTTTTAACTTGTTAAACGACTTGTTAAATCGAATTTTTATAGTAAATCTTAATTTTTTTTGCATTATTTATGTTTTGCATATCGTTACATTTCGATTGTTATTTTAATATTTCTATTTTCATAATAATGACCTCTGTAATAAAAATGGCCGGGGACCATTATGAAGAGGAACTTACCCTCCTCTTAAAACAAATCAATTGCCTAACCATTACAGATTCTCCTGAGAACGAATCTAAATCCCGATTCTTCTATTCATCAAAGATTTGCGACCCTGAAGACCAAAAAACTAACTCCTTACTCTGGTCGAAATTCTTCAGAGTAATATTGACCAAGGCGAAGAGACCTTGTTGTAGAGAGATTTGAGGGAGAATGAAATGACGATTTCTAGTATAAGAGGTTAGACCGATGAGAATTAATTCGAGAGAGATGTGGTTCTTCAGTTGGTGGTCTAATGTCGTCGTACCCAAGCAAGCTAAGAAATTTTTATTTTTATTATATTATGAGTTATAAATAATAAAAGTCCAAGATAAAAATTAAAGGTTTTAAAAGAAAAGCAAAATAAAAAATATGAAGTGGATAGCTTCAGTTTCTTCCACTTAAGCAACTTCAAAATGAGATTTTTATTTTATACACATACATATACTATATAAAATACTATATAAAAATGAGGATTTTTCGTTATCATCTGAAGCTGATTTAACTTCAATGATTATAAAACAAAATATAACAAAATACAATTCACATTGGTGATAATGAATTTCAACGAAATGAAAAAAATAAGCATATATACGAAAATTCCTTTGCGTTTTTATTCGTTCTTTAAATTTCAACATGAGAATAATAAACATTGAGAACACATATAGTTTTCATTTACAAAAAAAAAACATTTTAATGGGAATGGTGTGCAACGAATAATTAACAAATATATATACAAAACTATAGTTATCTGATTAATAAATATGAGATTCATTACACTCGCTAAATTAGTTTTTTGGGTATAAAAAAAGGAATGGAATCCTGCTAAACCAAGATAGTAAAAAAAACACGGAAATTTATTGTGAGAATTTGAAATTAGCTCAGTCACAGCAATTATTTGAGGAATTTATTTTTTTTATTTT